AGGTGTCGTCAACATATCTGAGCCAAAGTTTGGGTTTGTGTTCTGACTTGTCTAAAGCATTGGTTTCAAAGTGTTCCATGTACAGATTTGCGATGACCGGTGAGAGGGGTGATCCCATAGGTGCTCCTTCTATCTGTTTGTATCTTTGTCCATTGTGGATGAAGTACGTGTTGGTTAGGCAGTGGTTGGTCAGGTCCAGGATGTATTCGGGGGGATTGTATTTGTTTTGAATGGCTGTCAAGGCTTCATTAATGGGCACTTGTGTGAAGAGAGATACAACATCGAAGCTCACAAGTAGGTCATCGGGATGTAGGTTTTGCTTCTTTATTGTTTCTATGAACTGGAAGGAGTTTGTAACGTGTGAAGAGATGGATTCTGCATAGGGCTGAAGTTGCTTAGCGAGAAATTTAGCGAGATTTTGTAGAGGTGAGCCTATGGAGCTGACTATTGGTCTGAGTGGTGTTCCTTCTTTGTGTATCTTGGGGAGGCCGTTAGAGTTTGGGGCATCTGGATGATTTTTCTCTGGGGATGATTCTTAGCTGGATTTCTTCACTGATAGGAGAGGCTTTATTTTGGATTTGGTGGTTTTTTCCAGATAGGTGGTGGGATCTGTTTTTATAGGTTGGTAGGTAGGGTCTTGGAGTAGATTTGATAGTTTTGCTTGGTAGTCCGATGTTGTTCATCACAACAGTGGCATTACCTTTGTCTGCTGGGAGAATGATTATGTTGTTGTCTTTCCTCAGGTTGGTGAGTGCTTTCTGTTCTTCTTTGTGTAAATTGCTTCTGGGTGGTTTGCTGGAGCAGAGGATGTTGGTGACTTCAAGTCTGATTTTATTGGCTTCATCTGGGTTGATTTTGGTTAGGCTAGCTTCGACTCCGCATATGATGTTTTCCGTGGGGATGCGTCTCGGGGCGACTGCAAAGTTGAAACCTTTGGAGAGTACTTTGGTTTCAGTTGAGGTGAGGATCCTGTCTGATATGTTATGTACTGTTTGTTTCATGGGTTGTTGTGGAGGGTGGCTGGGCTTCTGGCGTTTCTCTAGTTTGTGGAGTTTGTTGGTGTGTGTGTCTGTCTTATGTGAGGTCTCAGTTTCAGCTCTCCAGACGGCTAGTTGTTTGCATTTGTCCCAGAGTGCAGGGTGGATTTTGTTACAGAGTTTGAGGTGAAGAGTGAGCAGATCTTTGTTGGTTTGGTTTAGTAGGTATCTTTTCTTATGTAGTTCGTTTCTGATTAGGGATAGTTCAGTTCGTTTCAGGATCCTTTCGGTAGCTGGGGTTTTAGAGTGGAATTTAAGTTGGAAGCATGTGGGAATTAATTTGTTTGTCTCGGCAGTTGCGTAGGAACAAGAGATCACATAAGATGGTGGCTCTTCGGATTTCTAGTTTCTCGTAGGTTCTTGTCAGCTGGAAGGTTTCCTCCCCGTAGAGGTGAGATATTTGCTTTCGTAGATTTTCACGGGTACAGGAATGCAGGTTTTGGTGTCCTCGGGTGTCTTCCCGTGTAAAAAGTTGGGGTGTCTAGGCGACGTTTCGACGAGGTCTCACTCGTCATCTTCAGGCTGGTGCTTTCGGCTTCTTGTTACTGGAACAGAGCAGGATCTCAGTGTTTGAGTTCCTATAAATACTGTTGAGGGGGTGTGGTGTATAGCCTCCAATGTTCTGGGCCGAGAGGAAGTTCCCAGGCTAGTGTGGCCTTTTCTTCTTTTGTTCCTTAATTACTTGAGGGGTATCTTGAGTGATTTCTTGAGTGATATTCTGAGTACCACTTAGGTGGGTCATTAGTGTGGATTAGTTGCTCAAGCCTTCGTGTCTTGACCTCTTGAACTTTGTGAAAAGTTTTTCTGAGAAGATGGCTGTACTGCACTTAGTTGTGCTTCTGGCTTGGCTTTCGGGTATAGGGGCGAGCTGTGGTTTTGTGCCCTGTGCCAGCCAGATCTGTGTAGGGATTGCAGGGGGGTGCAGCATCCGGAGGTGCCACCATGGTTTGGCTACTGGATGG